CGTTGTTCTTTCTTCTTGCAGCAATCAAAGCGTAGGCGGTCAATTTCTTGTGAAGTGAGAGACGCTAAATGAAGAATCTATAAGATTTGGTACAAAATGACCTTGAAGTGGGGGAAATAGGAGTCCTGTGAAAGTTTTTCATTTTGACAAGAAATTGAATGAAAACTGAGAAGCTAGGCTTCTGTGGCACATACTTCCATATGGTTCAGAATGTGGGTAATAGAGTCAAGTAAAACTAAGTAAAAAAAGAGTCAAGGTCAAACAGGTTGGGTAAATAATTTTCAAAATATATAATAAAATAAACACACATAAACACCACCAGTGAAAATACTAACTATAATGTACATCATAGCAGACATCACTTCTCTTTGAACTTTTCTGTAACAAATCACTCCTGACACTTGTCTTCATCTATTCCACCATACCTGAACTATACCTTTTCACCTGATTTCTGCACTGTTGATTACCCCTGGTGGTCAATCTAAGTACTCGACTCTCCACATTTCCCTCCACCTGCTCCCTACTCTCAGCACAGACTACGTCGTCTGCAAACATTATGGTCCATGAATCCTCCTGCCTGACCTCATCTGTCGTGCTGTCACCACCTTAAACCCTGAAGGTCTGATCTTAGAGTCTGAGTACTGGTTCCAAGCACCAATTTCTCTTTAATCTGATGCTCTTATACATAGTTATGATTATCTGTGCATATCTATTATTTTATTCCAAGGCTCTGTCTGCTTTCCATTACTAATAATTGCAAATAATAGTTCCAGATTTTCTAATAATAAATATTATGACAGTCATAACAGTATATATTGGTCTGTACTTCTCTAATAAACACACTGAGGCAGCAGCACCAGCATCACAGCTGGGTATGTGTGAGTAATCATAGACTTGGTTACTTTCCCATCGCTGGAACTAAAAAAAGCTCTTCTATCTTGGAACTGTGCCATGTCTACTTTTGTATTTTTTTTTTGTTTTGTCCCCAGGGTTGTAAAACTTCTACAGCATGTGGAGACCACAGAATGGAGCAATAACTCTGTGTTAGAGATGGTCACCGCATGCCTTCAAAAAGTTCCCGTGCAATCTGCACCAGCTGACAGCTGACTGCTACAACCTGTGGACTAACGTGAGGAAGATGAAACACATCATCAGTACAACCAGTAACCGTGTCAGCTTTTCAACCCGTGAGTCAGCAAAGGGTCCAGTACACACAGTCCTCAGAGGTGGTCAGCCTGACACTGTGGTAATCACCAAAGCATCCACACAAGTGTTTTGTTCATCTTTAGACTCTCACAGTCTCACAGAGGATTAAAAAAACATATGTTTCTTGTTTAATTCTTTGTCAAGCAAAATCTTATATGTGAAACTAGCTGAGGGTCAACACTGAACAGTGAACAGTGTGGTTTTACAATAGATAACTGAGAGTGTGACAGACATGAGCTAGAAGGCTAACCATAGTTGCTAAAAATTGGCTAAAAATATCACTAAAATACAAAGCAAAATATGGTAAAAGTTAGCAAAAAAATGTGAAAGGCTGTGAGTAATGCTTTGTATTAACCAAGGAGAGAGTTGTAAGAACAAAACAAAGAGTTAAGTGCTCAGCAATATCTCAGAGTTAGCAGGCATTTTAAGCAATTCACCACAAGGTTATTACCAGACAGGTTAGATATAGCTTCAGGTTAGCCAAAACACAGCTAAAAGGCAAGAAACATTTAGACCCAAGCAATGTTAGAAATAACAACATTTGCTGAATGTTACACTCTATTAGACGTGCACTTTTGCATAGAGTAAGTGCTCAAAACAATTACAAAATCTTTGGTCTTATTACGTTAGAAGTTAGCAAAGAATACAGCTTAATGTTATGTTTAAAACAGCATTTAAAAAAACAGCACAAATACAAAAAAATGGTTTTCCAACAGGCTAGCTAACAGAAAATTCTAAAGAGTTTCATTACGGTGTAAATGAAAGACCTCTTAATACATTTGAGAGACCACAGCATGTGGAAAACGTTCTGCAGATTGTGAATTTACACTTTTTGTGTGTAATCTCTGTAATCTCTAGTGCAAATAGACAGGAAGTCTGTGCCCTACAACTAACATCAACCACTGCACTCTTTGTTCTAGTAACATTATTTCAGAGATGCAGCCCTGTGGTATCAATCATCCACCAGTGAGCCTAAAATAGACACAAGGTTTTTTCTGGTACTGGGGGGGGAGGAGAGGGGGAGGGTGGGTGGTTGTTGGCCTGTTTGTGTTATGAAAGGAAGGGTGGGGGTGCAATGGGAGCAAGCTGGGACTAGAACCAAAGTTGAAGCCAAAATATCCCTTTATACACTGATATATGTCTGGCAACAGAGCTGAAAGCTATACTGGAGCAGTGTTGGTGGGCAGTGGGGTTAGGTTTCCCACAAACGGACACGCAGAGAGGAGACAGTGGATCCAGGAGCTGGGCTGATATCAGTGTCCCGGCCGTGAGGATTCCACCTGGTGACTCTCAGCCCAGAAGTCAGAGGATATTCCTGAAAACACTCTACACTGATGGTGCTAATCTCAGACAGATATGTACAAAGCAAACTCAGGAATAGCATTTGCTGGTGGAATAAACGATGGCTGGCACGTTCATGAAGGAATTAAATAACATAAACAGCACAGAGGTCGGGGGTCTGCCCTGCTCTGAAACAGCAGGATAAGTAATTATAGCTGTGTCTGAACCACACAGTACCAGGAACATTTATTATTAGGAACCATTTTCAAGGAAGTGAAAAGATTCTGTTCTACTCATGCAAGTCCACATTTTTAATGTTAAATTATTTTAATTAAGAGTCATCTTTAGCTTTGATTTTGCTTTGAGGCAGGATGCCTGCTTAAGTGTATACATCTTTTATACATCATCCTTTATGTATACATCTAACATCTTTTAGAAAATGTGAGAATGTGAAGTGGATGAATTTGAATCTTTTGAGTGTTGGAATTACTCTAAATAACAGAAAGTAAAGGCAAAGAAATGCAGGTTTTATTTTGTTGGTTTTATGTTGTGATATGAAGTGATCTTAATCATCGTTCATGCAAAAAATGCAAATTCTGGGGTCACAGAACAAAACATTTATAAACTTGAATGTATCCTATTAAGTTAAATGACGAAGCTGGGGAAGAACATAGAACCAAGCAAAACAAAAAACAAAACAAAAACACTTGCTCCGTGCTGTGTCTAAACTCTGCTCACTGCAGCTCTTCACTCACTCCCACTCTAGTCATTTGTTTTTAACTCAGAAAACATATGTACTGTATATGCATATATTGGGCAAAAACAAATGTGCGAATAAATGTGTGCAAAGATAATGTGCAGTGACAGCACTGATGTTCAATAAAAACAACAACAGATATTTTAGAAAAACAAGTTTTTGTTAAATGTTTTACCAACTTAAGCATTTTAATAATTAATTTTTAAAAAAGAAAAATACACCAAGGGACAAATTGTATTCACATCTATTGTAATTGGAAATATGTGAAGATTTTGGGACCACTGCTATTGTGGCTATTATACAGGAATGCAACCTAATAGGGATTACCATAACGGACAGGTATGTACTGTAGCAAATAGGAATAATTTTAAACAAACAAGGAAAGCATATGTTATAATTGAACAGATGCATCAATATAACTATAGAACTAACAAAACAAATGCAACTGACTGGAAATGCTTATTACTAGTATGCAAAATATATTCTCCTTTCTTTTTAAGTAAAAATGTTGGAAGAAAAGCAAGTATCCCCCTATTTTTCATCTGAATGTTCTTGTAGAAAGAGGCCACACAAGCGTGGTTCGATTTTACACAGACACAGCGAGAGATGTGTGAGGTTGTCAGGCTGTGAGTCACCTTATAGTGTTTCAAGGTGATGAACCGAAGACCAACGAGTCATTTCAACAGTCTTGGTTGACTAACACTGGGTAAACAGACAACTTCAAACAGTGTTTTTTATTTTAGAAATATTTAACAAAATATTATTATTTATATATATAGTTTTTTTATTTCTTGAGACACACGGAGTTTCATTCACAAAGCCCTGCTGTGTCACTGATGAACTTTTTACATAAACACAGTAATCATTTAAACGTGTGTAGAAACTGTCTTAAAAATGTCCTACCTGGTGTTGGAGTGAAGTATCAGACTGATGCCTCTTCTAAATATCTCCATGCTGGTAAAGCCCGAGAAGACCAGTCTTTCATTCTGACTCTGTCAAAACTGACAAACCCCCGACCACCGCTTAGAGACACCTGTCAAGCTGGACCCAAGGCCAAACCGGCTATTTCCTAGTAATATTTTCAAAATAAAGCATTTTTCCTTTTCGTTTCGTTTGTCCAAGGAAAGATTGACAATATTTGACAACATAAACACTTGTAACAATTTCTTGCAATAGTTTTGCTAACATGAGCACATTTCAGATTGTTGTTCTGCTTTGTTAGGGAAGAAGCTTTGTTTATACTTTTCTGGTAATTGTAGCTCTGAAAATTTGTCAACTGTGATTTTATTTATACATTTTTTATCTCTAGTTACCCCTATATATAGTTACCACTATATATAGTCTAAGATTAAAAGATTATTTAGTATGTTGTTGCATAATTATTGTTTTGTTTTTCATCTGGGCTTTGCTATCGCTAACTTTCTGTTTTCGATAATTTGGCACATCTTTTAGGTTTTGAACTGTAAATTCTGAAAATTATTTCAGTTACACTACATTATAACCGCTTATTGTAGTTAATTATGTATAATCATATATAATTTCCACTCCTAAATGTAAAAACGCAGCAGCATTTAAAGTACTACACTACCACCTATTGGCGACTTTAAGCATTGCGGTATTCGAATACGTTTATTACTACTCCAGACGATCTTAAATGTGTAAAAACCTTTTGAATTAATTATAGTAGAAAAAAAGGTTTTATCAACAGGGTGTATCTTCTGGTATAACTAATTTCAGAAAGATCTTCAGAGATCTAAAACCATAAAAGCAATTTCTTCTTTTTAAAACATAATAATAATAATTATTATTATTATTATTATTATTATTATTATTATTATTATTATTATTATTATTATTATTATTATTATTATTATTATTATCTTACCCAACATGACAGTTGTTGAATCTACCAAGTTGGAGCCTCAATAAAGGCAAACATCTTAACAAACCGTACATTGGCCACCTCGTCTGAAACGCTGATCCAATCACAGATAAAGGGCGTGGTTTGCGTCAAGTGTGCGCCCCACCTTGTTTCGGTCACGTGACGTGAACAAACGAAGATGGTGGAAGTTTGCTCTTCCGTGAAGTGAAACCCGGACTGAAACCCAAACATTCTGTTAACCCAAGGCTGGGACCTCACTTCAGCTTCACCAGCTTGGTTATATAATTTCACTACGGAACAGGGTAAGCAAAACGAGGTGACTACTACTTTCGATAATGTTAGTATTTTATGATTTCCCCCGCAACCGTCGGACTTTGAGACTTCCAGACAGCCATGATGATGACATTAGCTCGCAAGCTAACAGTTAGCCGGGCTGCAATAGAAGCAGTGGCAGGAGCAGGAACTCTGCTTTCAGAAGTGACATTCAACACGTACAACAAGTCCCGCCGCCACAGCTGTACTAAAAAGCGCACAACTATAAACGAAGTGACAAATAGTTAATTTAAGTATGACAAACCCCCTTAGCTATAGCGTTTTGTCGAATGCTAATTGGATTAAATTGCTTGATCATTTAAACCGTTGAGTCTCTGTTTACTACAGTAGTGGATAATGATTATAGAAAAACGGACTTTGTCAACTGTCATTAGTCAATGCTGCCTAACACGGGTGTTATAAAAATGTAAAACTTCCTCCTGTTTATCAATTTCAGTTCATACTATACTCCGTGTCATATCTGGTTGGATAGTGTTGTCTACATACAGGTAGTGTCTCCTAAATCTTTAGAGGGAACAATGTTTTAAGTAATCAAACTATTGTTGAAATGTATTTTAACTTTTTAGCTAAATATTTTTGTTACCACCATACTTGAGGTCATTTTTATTTATTTTTGACAACTGTCAATTTGTTTTGAAATTTTTGGAAGATTTGTGCATAATTTTAATTGTTACTTTTTTGTTGATTTATCATTAAGTCATTTGGGCCGTACATGTGAAAACAAAAATAATGTTGCAAAATCCAACGTGACAACGTTCCTAAATGATTCAAACTATAAATATATCTTAATCAACCATATACAGAAATGTTATGATGACAATGTATTAATTTAAAATAAATAGCCGTACCTGTTGTTTAAATAATATATGCAATATGTGCATATCTCTATTTTAACACACAGCTCTATTACACTGTATTTTTCCACACTATCATTCTTTCACCTCAAATAAAAGATCAAGATTTTCACATTAAATAAATCTAAATTACCATACATTCTGAGTTGAGATTTGAAAGAGATTTGATTAAGAAAACAATCATCAGATTTGGCGACACCAAAGTTTTTCTTGCCATCAGACTACTTTATGTTTCCCATCTCTGTCTGAGCAGAAGGGGCTGTGGCCCTGCTTCTTTAGACACATGGCTTTCAGTCACTGAATGAGTTGCTCAGTGCTGCAATGTTGTTGAAGTGTCTAGGACGGAGTTGGCCTTTTTAAATCTCAGTTTTTAAAGTCTGTCTTGACTCTGTGTCTCCTGTTAGAAGACGACAGATACATACAATACTCACAAGTGGTCTCTATGCAAATCAGGTTTTTAGATGAAGTTGTTTTGTTGTCCTTGGATAATTGTAAGGTGGAAGGAGCAGACTAGGTTATAGACAAACAAAATAAGATATTGCTGTTTGTGCTTTTTTTCATTTCCCACATTTGCACTGTGTGTGTGTGTGTGCATAGCATCTGTGAACATCCTGATTTGCTAAAACTACATATGCACATCATTAAAAGGCTGAAGGCTTGAATGGTTTGTTTTCAAACCATAGATAAGCCTGTTGTAGTCGTACTGATTGTGTCACTGTAAATATGTGCTTTGTAAATTTGCACCATTGTTTTGTACAATGTATGTCTGTATGTAAGAGAAGTATGTGGTGGTATTTATATTTAGTAACTTGTTCATGTTCCAACGGCTTGTGACAATAACCATTTAAGCTTCTATTTGTATAAGATAATTTACATGTGCATTTAGACAATCTATTCAATTCAATAGACTTTGGACAATTTTATTTAGTTCCTAAAAAAAAGAATTCTAAGTCACGGTAGGTCATCTCACAGTTTAAAATTCAGTGAACGCTCCACCAAACTCTGAACAGTCTGCTTGTGGGGCTGCAAAGTCAGCAGCCGCAATGAATTATTGACAGAGACGAAGGCTGAAGCCAAAGTGAAAATTTACCCAGGAGCTTCGCTCGTTCTCTTGCTCTGCTCACAAAGAGGTAGACGCAGGAACATGCATTATTCAGTGATGCGTCCAAACAGACTTTGGAAGAGATCATTGCCCCTGATTTCCCTTTCACTAGCACATTAGTTGAAGACTTGGTAACTGTGGATGCCCTTTCTAGAAGACAACACCACACAGCAGCCGTTTACTCATCTAAAATGACAGAGCCGTTGCAGGTTTCTAATGTAAATATGTTGCCAAGACCGTGTGAGTGAAGAGTGAAAACATCCTGGTAATTTTAGATTGGAAGCCCAAACATCAGGTCACAGTAACTGCTTCAGAGCTGGCTGTTGACAGTCGTGATACTAAATCTGTACCAGGAACAATACATCACGGACAATGCCAACCTGCAGTGTATATAGTACATATATGCGGTCTTCATAGTCTCAATAATAAAAGCTGTCATAGTGGTGGTATTTTAGAGGTGACAGCTTCTTTTACTTTTGACTCCAACTAATTAACTAATTTTATTAGTCAGTAATATATTGCTTCTATTGCTCTTGTATATTTGTCACTGCAGTAAAAAAAAAACGAATTCATAACTTAAAAAATATTAAAAAGACAATCCGTTTGCAGTTATTCTTATTGGAATACAACACTTATTTTGTATGTCTGTTAGATTTGCATTTTGGCCATCACAGTTTAGAAACATTAAAAAAAACAGGTGCTGGGACAACACCTTCGACTACTGTAGCTGTCAGCCACACGTTTCTGCAGCTGCAGACATAAACCACAGAAGTGTTGTTCTGAAAAGGAAGAGAAACTTCATTGAAAACTTGCAGTCAAAGTACTTTGTGTGCCACCAGTTTAGTCATCTCCTATTGGCTAATCATAGGAACTGCATCACCTTTACTCCTCAGTCTTGTGAAATATGGTTGTTCTCCAAACCCAATAGAAACAAATCTTTTTTCATTACTGATAAAATTGCATGAGCAATGAATGAAAATGTGGCCTGGCTAATTGTGACAATGTAGAGGAATAATGTTAAATAGATGTGTTATAATGACATGGCTGGTATACTAGAACATAATTAAATTAAGTCAAGTATTTAATTATTGAGGTTTGTCCCAGTGCAGTGTGGTTTTGTTTACTGTGCAAGGCTTTTAGTCCGGAATCAAATGTCTAGGCACAGGTTTTGTTTTGAAATGTGATCCAGACAACACAATGTCACAAACTGCTTTGCTGACTTTTACTTGTTTTTATCACTTTTGATGATTTGGTTTTTTCTGTATTTCTGCTATTTTCAAATGGATTGTTGCTTCTTCTTTTTTTGGATATTGTTGCATTCCTTAATTAAAAACAAAAAAACATTTTCTATCTATATAGTTTATCTATTTATCTAATTGGAAAATGTCTTACAAACTTAGCATTATCACAGCCTTGACGTGATAACAGTGTTACGACCTTTATCTCCCAGAGTATTTTCTGTGGAAGGATTTAGGCACCATCACATGGACAGTCTGGACATTAGACACATAATACCTCCTCAGAGATGCTTGAATGGGTTCTGATCAATGAGATTATTGTCTCTTAACCACTTATACATGGTTTGGATTGTCTGCTGCGGGACGTTGTCATGCTAGAAGCCAAACCTTTAACGCCATCTGAGATCCCTGGAGACCTGGATTAGGTTTTAACTAAGCATGCATCTGCACTTTGCTTTTTCTCAATGCAACCCAATGGAGATTTATTAGTCATAAAACATATTACCCACAACTACCCTGTCTGGAAGCTCAGCAACTTTTGTTAGCCTTATTTTCCTCAAAAAGAGGGAAATCTATTTTAATTGTGTGTTTATTTGACTCCTAATTAATTAACCTTTACAAAGGGCAGTTATAGTGACAAAGTCTATCTGT